TGTCCAGCCGCCCGCCCTCTACCTTGGGGGGAAGGACATAGGGGAGGGGGGGGGGGTTAATCCTCCAAAACCTCACCTGGAAGGGCTCAGTCCAGCCTGGAAAAGCCCATGGGCTGAGGGATGTTTGTGTGCCAGATGCCTCTGGGAGCAGAAGTGGGGATCCCCATCCCTTCCACCACAGGCAGCCACAACCACCCTTTCTTAGCCCCCCACTGCACCCCCACAGCCGTTGGCAAGGGGGAGACCTTGAGCTTGGGGCTCAAAATAGCTTTTGTCAGAGCAATGTCAAGGGCCTCCATGGCAATGGGGGCCTTGGCCTGGCCCCCTCATTCCTGCAGCCTGGCTCTGCACCACAGCCAGGCTGCTCAGCCCCCTGCCCGTCTTTCATTCCTCTCCCCCAAACATACACCCAAGACAGAACCAGCCCCTGGCTGCGCCCAGGGAGATGAGGGAGCACTGGGGCAAGGATGCAGCTCCAAGGAAGACAGGGAGATGCTCCAAGCCCTTTGCCTCCAGAGCAGCACAGTACCCGCTCAGCCAGGGCTCAGCCAGGAGCATGCCCCCTCCACAGGGATGCCCCGTTCCACGCTGGCCCAGGGCGCGATGCTGCACCCCAGCTGCTTCACCACCTCCTGCAAACACATCCTCCCCATCCCGCAAGTGCCTCTCCACTGGCAGTTTCAGCACTTTATTGTCTGGCGGTCCTGCTACAGCACCCCGCTGTCCTCCCCGTGGCTACGGCCGCAGAGGAGGGATCCGCTCCCTTGTCCCCAGCATGGCACCACAGTGTCCCTGGGAGCTGGCGGCTCCCGGAGCTGCAGCGGTCCGAGAACTGGCACTTAAGGAATCCTGGCTGGGGCTGCCTGCTGCTCCTCCACGCTGGGTGCAGGGAAGGGGCACGCGGCCAGGCATGGCTGTGGTCCGGTCCCGCTGGCCTGGCAGCGTGGGTCACTTGATTTCGGTCATCTTTTAAAAACGTCGTTCTAAAATGCCACCGATTCTGGGTTCTGACCAGATGCTCTCAGCTTTGTCTCTCAAAAAAAACCCAACCCCCAGGGGCTGCCTGCTGCTCCTCCACGCTGGGTGCAGGGAAGGGGCACGCGGCCAGGCATGGCTGTGGTCCGGTCCCGCTGGCCTGGCAGCGTGGGTCACTTGATTTCGGTCATCTTTTAAAAACGTCGTTCTAAAATGCCACCGATTCTGGGTTCTGACCAGATGCTCTCAGCTTTGTCTCTCAAAAAAAACCCAACCCCCAAACCTTTCTTCCCTTTTATGAGCAGTTTTCGATTTTGGCCAGAAATTGCTGTGCCCACCACTCCTCCAGGTCGATGGGAACAAAGTCTGAAAGAGAGGGGAGGGAGAGAGCATAGCAGAGCAGCTGGAGCAGGGAGCAGAGCTCTGGGTGCTCCCACTAAGCCGTACCATTTGCCACTGGAAGAGTGTGACACCCAAAATTTCCCCCACCCCTGTGCCCTGTTCCCCAAAAGGCCAGGCTGGGTTTACAGGGACCTTCTCTTCTTGGGGACTTCTTGGCTGCTGCAGGAGCCCCCAGGCTGCGTTCACAGCCCTTACTCCAGCTGCCGTCCGAGAAGCATGTTGTCCCCGTCCCGCTGCGCTCCGGCTTGGTCCTGCTTGGCCCCGGGAGAGGCAGGTCCCCACGGCGGGACCCGGGGGGCTCCTCTCCAGCACAATATTGAACCCACCTTGGTGGCTGGAGAAGGCACAATTTTAAGAAAAGTCATCAACCAGGCGTCCTGCTTGCTTGGGCTCTTCTGACAGGGCACCGTGGGACATCCCCACCACAGTGCTGGGGGCCAGCTGCCCCCCAGCACCCCTCGAGAGGCCTCAGCACTGGCAGGACAGACCCAACCCAGCCCCTCCGGCACATCCAGCACTGGGATCCTCCTTCTCTTCCCATCGCAGCCCTGCTCAGGTGCCCAGCTGAGCCCACACCAGCTCATCGCACCCATGAGCCCGACGCACCCCCGAGTGCCACGACTGCTTCCAACTTACTTTTCAGTCCGGGGTTGGGGGTTTTCTCTATGTACTGCACAGGGCCGCAGGTGCTCTCCCCGCTCCGGCTGCCGTCCAGCTGCTGCTCTACCTGCTGCCAGGCTGGGGGTGGGTGGAAAACAGGCAGTGGATGGTTTATGGGATGGGGATTTCCCAGCCCGGAGGGGCTGCGGGAGAGGAGCAGGAGCTGGTGCAAGGGAGGGCAGCTGCCCAGG